CTGGATATCGCAGATAATGCTCTTAGGTTTCTATGGTGTTTTCATGTAGTTTTCACAGTGGGCATGTGGGGAGGGGAGGAGAAGGATTCATCTTTCCATTTCACATACGAGAGTAAATTTGTTTTCAGGGATGAAGAGATGATAGGGATAAGAAAGGCAAAGTTGGGGACCAGCAGTTAGCATAATGGCTATCTCGCTCAACTCCCATGTAGTCGAGCGCGGATTGAGTCTCAGACCCAGTGGCTTATAATGCACGCCGAGCACATGTGCGTGCATGCCCAAGATCCCAAGAGGAGAATGGAGGAGAAGGGGTTGCGGCGTGGCCATCCCCCCGGGGGGTGATTTCTCGCTTTCTGTCTCTCTGTCTCTCTCCATCTCTCTGGTGAGTGCACACACCCTGTAGCAAAAACCTCTCAAAAAAAAAAAAAAAAAAAAAAAAAAAAAAAAAAAAAAAAAGAAAAAAAAAAAGAAAGAAAGAAAGAAAAAAGGTAAAGTCAAGAATAGAACTCTTGGTCCAGTGCTCTTTTATTTTTTTTTCTTTGAGAAGATTTTGCTATAGGGCGTATGCACTCACCAGAAAGACAAAGAGACAGAAAGCGAGAAATCACTCCCCAGGGGACGGGGGGGGGGATTGTCATGCCACAATCCCTTCTCCTCCATTCTCCTCACAGGATCTTGAGCATGCACACACATGTGCCCAACGTGAGTTTAAGCCACCAGGTCCGGGCCTCGAACCACAGTTGACTACGTGGGAGTCCAGCGACATAGCCATTACGCCAACTGCTGGTCCCAGTCCAGTGCTCTTTATATTAAACCACGGTAACGGAATCACAGCTGAAGATGAAGAAATTACATTTGAGATATCAAATCATCCAGACTGCTGGTAGGGCTTCTAGATGAATAGAGAAAAATGGCTAGGACTGAAGGTACATAATTACCCCAAGCAGTAGAAGGAATTGAGGGAGAGATGATAAGTAGATGATGAAGGGCTAGTACAGGGCAAGCAAACCAGGACTGGTAAGAGGCCCAAGAATGCTGGGATTTTTCTCTGGGCTGATGATGAGACATAGAGAATGAAGGAGAAGTTCTGTGCTTGAGTGCAAACAGAGCACTCAGAAGATTTCCCTGAAGGTTGGACCCCTGAGGACCCCTAGCTATTCCTCTCCCTACAGGATTTTGACATTGCTGGGCAATTCGACCCCATGATCCCTGATGCAGAGTGCCTGAAGATCATGTGTGAGATCCTGAGTTCACTTCAGATAGGTGACTTCCTGGTCAAGGTCAGAGCTAAATGGGGCTGGGAGGGTAAAGTGGGGCCTGGCCTCTCACAGGAGAAGGTTCCTGTGCAGAGAGACTAGTTGCCCAAGACTCCTGAGAATCATGGAAAGGAAAGATTCCCTCCTCACTGTGTTCTGGGTCCCTGCAGGTGAATGATCGGCGCATCCTGGATGGGATGTTTGCCATCTGTGGTGTTCCTGACAGCAAGTTCCGTACCATCTGCTCTTCAGTAGACAAACTGGATAAGGTAACAGCCCAACCCTTGGCTCTTCTTTTCTCAGATCCCACCCTGCCTTGAGAAATGGGAAACAAAACTAGGGGAGGTGCCTGCCTCTGGTGTTCACTGGAGGAAGATTAGCCCCAGGATGTAGGTTGAAGGCCAGTTACTGCTCCAAGACTCTGCTCCAAGACTCTCACTCCCTGAGGAGTGTCCACACTTGCTGTGTGGTGGGAAAGCTGTGCAGGTGTCTCTACTAGTGTCTGTCCTCACAGGTATCCTGGGAGGAAGTGAAGAATGAGATGGTGGGAGAGAAGGGCCTTGCACCTGAAGTGGCTGACCGCATTGGAGACTACGTCCGGCAGCACGGTGAGGAGCAGAACCCAGCTTCCCCAGAAAATATCCTGCTGCCCTCAATCTTAAAGTCGAAACTCTTCTGTATGTGTGAATAAATATGTAAGAGAGACAGATAGTGTATGTGTGCACACACACGTACACGTGCAGTAAGAGTCCAGGCCCAAAGATGGACCGCCTACCTTTTTCTTCTTCTCAGTCTCACTCACAATTCTGTCTATCTAGGTGGGGTGTCCCTAGTGGAGCAGCTGCTCCAGGACTCTAAACTGTCCCAAAACAAACAGGCCTTGGAGGGCCTGGGAGACCTGAAGCTATTGTTTGAGTACCTGACCCTGTTTGGCATCGATGACAAGGTGAGTCAGGTAGAGTATGGGAGCGCTGGCTGAGCTCTGCAGCTTTTGGTCCCTGATCCTAATTAGGTACTGACCACGTCCCTGTCTCCACAGATCTCCTTCGACCTGAGTCTTGCTCGAGGGCTAGACTATTATACTGGGGTGATCTATGAGGCAGTGCTGCTACAGACTCCAGCCCAGGCAGGGGACGAGCCCCTGGGTGTGGGCAGTGTGGCTGCTGGAGGGCGCTATGATGGCCTGGTGGGCATGTTCGATCCAAAAGGACGCAAGGTGCCATGTGTGGGGCTCAGCATTGGGGTGGAGCGAATCTTCTCCATCGTGGAGCAGAGACTGGAGGTAGGTCCCAGGGGTGGACAGAAGACAGGCAGGTGTCCCTTAAGCTATCTTTGATCTCCAAGAGAGCAAGTGGTGCTGCTTTGAACAAAGAGCATCTCAGAACAGTGGGAAAAAGGTGATCACTGTCTTTCACAGATTTCCAACACATTGCAAGATTAGGGATTCTTAAAATCTTTCTCCTCTCCACTAAATCCTCTGCTCTGAATCCCTACATCCCTCAAGGCTGTTGGGAATCTAGGCTGGTGTGTCCATGACCAAGCTCTTCCTTATGATATAGAATACTTAGTATTTTAATAATCAGATAATTTGCTCAAGGTATGCTGCTTTGAAGTGGCAGAATCAGAGTTTGAATCCAAGCTGTTTGACCCTATGTCTCACTCCTTACTACTATAATATTGTGTCCAAGTGGGAAGCATGTGGCTGAGGCCCTGGGATCCCTCAGCTGGTTGCCTTGGTACTCTCAGTAGCTATAGTAACACCAAGGAAGCCCCTCAGAGCCTCAGCTCCCCCACTCTACCTTTATTTCTGCTGCACTGTTTAATGCTAGTTACATTTCATCCTCTGGAGAATGCTCTGGCAAGGCAACCTTCCCTCTGTTCCATTCCTTTTCTCTAGGGTAGAAACCACTTCTTTCCCATTTGAGGTCATAGTTCCAGCAGGCATCTTATGTTGTAAGAACTATGAAAAGAGAGTTAAAAAAAAAAAAAAAAGACAAGGGGCAGCAGCAACATTCATTGTCCTCTGCCCCCAGCCACCTCTCATCACATACACCTTGGGGTGAGCCCTTTACCAGAAGCAGTAATGTGCATAGTCTCATGAACGGGCAGATACTAAGTAGGGACTAGAACCACCAGGGGTGATTCAATTGCCTGGGGTGGGCTCATAGTAGTACATCTGTGTGAATGTTCTTGTAGACCCTTAAGGTACTAGCTGAAGATGAGCTTGACGTTATTATTACTAAGCTACCGTTGCCTTTGCCCTAGGTTATTTATTCTGGCAAGACATGTACAGTTCAATCAGCTCATTTCTTAAATCTAAGAGCTATCTGTGCCCAACTGCTAGATGAGGAAACCGGGCCCCTATGCTGGTGGAGCTCACTGAGTTAGTCCTGGTCTCCCAAAATCCTGACTAGAGCTTCTTTGTTCCTTGAAGGGGTCAGCCAAGTTCTCTGACTTTTATCTGCCCCTTCCCCAGGCTTTGGAGGAGAAGGTACGGACAACAGAGACACAAGTGCTTGTGGCATCTGCACAGAAGAAGCTGCTGGAGGAGAGAATGAAGCTTGTCTCAGAGCTTTGGGATGCTGGGATCAAGGTACAGGAGGCAAACCTGGGGGCGGGGGGAGGCAGCAAACGTGAGAGTACTGAACACAAAGTAAATAAAAACTTACCCACAATGACTCCTGCCATTACTTCCTGGGGTGGAGCTAAATGCAAGGTGCCAGCCTGGGCCCCCAGTAGGTTGGCACTGAGGACTGCAGAAGTCAGCCTTCATCCTCTGTCCTGCTCCCCTGTAGGCCGAGCTGCTTTACAAGAAGAACCCCAAGTTACTGAACCAGTTGCAGTACTGTGAGGAGGCAGGAATCCCACTGGTGGCCATCATCGGCGAGCAGGAGCTCAAGGACGGGGTCATCAAGCTTCGTTCGGTGGCTAGCAGGGAAGAGGTGAGGCAAGAGGCTAAGGGGCAGGAAGGAATATATTGCCAAGGCAGTAAGCACATCCCTTCAAGACCTGAGCAAAATCCTGGCATTCACATTAGTACAGTTAACAATGGACCTAAGGGCTTACATGGTCGTGGTAAGGTGAGATCTCCATCCCCACATCCACCCTGTGTCTTTCTGACTCCCCCAAAAGGCACCCATCTGCTGTAAGGCGTTTGATTTGGCTCCTGTTCTTGCTGAGCCAAGCCTAAAGATTAGAGGAAGGAGCAGCAATGGAATAGAAGGTGCTCATCCCAGTTTCTTCCTTCCTGGCCAGGTGGACGTCCGAAGGGAAGACCTTGTGGAGGAAATCAGAAGGAGAACAAACCAGTCCCACTGTATCTGCTGAACTGAGCAAACTATCAGAAGAAAGGAAGTGGGACTGGGACTGTTTGAGGCCAAAACTGCAAATGACTTCAGTAGCTGCTTTTCTGTTCCAACTCAGACCTGAAGAGTGGTCAGAACAGAGACTTATTTTTATTACAATTACATTGCTGATAATAACTGGCAAAAAAAAAAAAGATTGGCCAGGTACTACCCCATGATCCACAAAAGATCCTCAGGCTTGGGCCAGTCTGTGCTCCTGGACTGCAGCAACTGGGCCTGAGAAGACAAATCCCACAGGCCCCGACACCAGTTGGAGCAGATGCCTCCCCACATCCAGTCACCAAAGGTCCAATAAAATGTCTCAACCACTGGCGCCGCCGCTGTGTCACTGATGCCTTGCCCTGCCTTCCCCCAGTCAGCCTGAGCCTCCGATTTAGACCACGATAGGGGTGGAAAAAGGAGAAAGACAGTATGCCCCCGTGAGCGCTTCCCTAGAGCCTAGATGACCCTGAGGTTCTAGCCTCTGGCCACCACTCCCCAGTTTGCTGGCTACTCCTTGGGAAGCTGTTTGTTGATTTACCCGCTAGGGTTTCTAGCTTTCACCTGAGGATCTAAGACCCCTCGGTCCTCGTGCAGTGGTGCACGCCTTGGGAGGCGGGGTCGTGCTTGGAGCCAATGAGAGCTTGCGGGGTGGAGGGGTAGGGAAACTTCCAGAGGCCTACGACGGCGGGGAAGTTATAAAGGGGGTACGGGTAGGCCAGCGAGCGAGCCATGCAGTCCAAGCGGGAGTGTGAGGTATGTGACTAGTGCCGAGGTGGGTCGACAAGCTGCTGCACAGGAGGGCAGCTACAGGCCAGACACCACAGGTGAGGGTGGGGGGCTGGAGCCGGCGATCCACCATTCCAACCTGTCTTTTCCCTATAAGCTGTGGTGTGAGAGAGTGAATCCAGAGAACAAGGCGGCACTGGAGGCATGGGTCAGGGAGACTGGCATTCGCCTGGTGCAGGTGAACGGGCAGAGAAAGTACGGCGGACCACCCCCAGGTACGTTAGCCCCAGCCCCTTCGCTAGTCTCTACGGCCCTTTCCGGGGAGGGGCCTACCCGAGACGCCACCATAGGAAACCCCAAACTACCCGGATTTACACCTCTAAGAAGATGGGGAGATTTATGTAGCTCCCAGTCCACCCGCCCCATCGAGGAAGTGTTCCAGACCTAAGCGGCACCCACTCTTTATCAGCCTAGTTATTAGTTCGGTCACCCAATGACCAGGGTACGGGGGTTGTACCCGTTTCACAGTTCGTTCACGTCGTGCCCCCACGTTGGGTCCACGGGTTCAGAGCTCTGTCAGCCTGGTGGATGACGGTGCCCCTCCGTTCTGCTCCCTTCAGGCTGGGTGGGCAGCCCACCGCCCGCCGGGTCAGAGGTGTTT